ATTGCCCCATTTTCTCTTCTAGCAGTTACGCAGAACAAGGTCTTAAGGGATGAAGTTTTTAAATTGACTTTTGTGTGTGGTATCAGATAAGCTTCCTGCTTCATTCTTCTAGTTGTGAATATAAAGGTTTTCAATATCATTCTCTGTTCTATGCTTGTGATAATATGTAATAGTTCAGTTGATTTTGAGGAAGGGTTTATTTCTAGGCTCTCTTGCTCTCTCTTAAATTATGGGTCAATGCAAGGCAAGAGATTGCAGCAAAGCAGCTGGGAATCTGGGCATGACCTGCCTTATGGCTCCTGTCTGGATGTCCTCCCAAAGCCTCAAGCACTCATACATGTGGCTTTAAGAGGTAGTTGGGCTGGAGATTTAGCTCAGTAGTTCTGTCACCTGCCTTGCAAGCACAAGAACCCAAGTTCTATCCATGGTAATAAAAAAAAAAAAAATCAGTTGGGTCTGCGATTTAGCTCAGTGGTTCCAAAACCTCCCTTGCAAGTGCAAGGACTGAGTTCAACCAAATTCAATTCCCCGGTTAAAAAAAAAAATGAGTTGTTTGGATCTACAGTGTGTCATGCTGGGATTGTGCGTGATGCTGGTATCAAGGGTGGGTGATTACTAAATTATTTTGCCATAGTTGATTGGTTAAGCATAGTTCTTGGAGTGGATTATGGGAAGGCCCTCCCTGGGTGTGAGCGATTTCCACCAAAGGGGTATACCTGGATAGAATATAAGGGACAGGAAGAAGACTCGTGTTGTTGCTTGTCACTTGCTGCTTACCACTCATCACCTTCTCCTTTTCTGACTCCTGCCCACCATGAACTGTTTTCCTCTGTGATGCCCCTCTTGCTACCCTGCCTGGGAGCCAGCCAAATATGAACTGAATCCACTAAAAATGGTCAGCTAAAATAAACCTTTCCTCCATTCACTTGGTGTGTCTTGTAATCTGCCTCAGCAATAAGAAAATTAACTAATGTGACCTGTCAGTCATAGAGACCTGAAGTGGCCAGGATCTATGGGCAGAAGAGCTTGTGGTCCCTGCAAAGGTGCTGGCCTCTGACATCAGAACAGCCTTATAAAAGATGAATGGCCATCGGCCTCAGGACCACTCTCTTCTTTCTCTTTCTGTGACCCACCATGTGTATAGGACACATTTTCATCTTCCACACTTTTTCAGAGCACATTTTTTTCCCTCATCTTCTATCTTCTTTTGCCTTTAAGAAATGTAAAATATCAGTGTTCTTCTGATCCAATTCTGATCTCAGTGGGTATACCATAGCCTGCAATGGAACCCCATCAAGCAATAGTGAATACAACTTGATTTTGTGTTGCTCTCAGGTTGTTTGTGTTACTGTAAATTGGTACTAGTCTTTGAAGTCAGCTATTACTGTGATTCCAGCCTTTTTCTTCAGGTTTGTTTGGGATGATTTCAATCTTTTATGGTTACATAGAAATTTAAAATTTGTTTTCATGAGAAATACTATTCAAATTTTGAAAAGAAGTGCATTGAATCTGCAGATGGTTGGGAAGTATGGACATTTTAACAATTTTAACAATTCTGATTATTCCAATTCAGGAAGACGGGGGCCTTTTCATTATTTGTGTCACCTACAATTTCTTTCGTCAGTGTTTTACTGTTTTCAGTATTCTCATCTTTCTCATAGAACTTGAAAAAATTTTACTCTTTTACTTCCTGGTTCCTTAAAATTCACTGAAGACTTTTAGGGCAAGAAATGAGATGGACAGATTTGTAATTTTGAGATTACTGTGGTTACAGAATGAAGCACATATTGATGGAGCCAAGGATATAAATGGTGAGGAGTTGCTGTGAGTGTCCACAGCACACGCAGCGAGCAGTATTGTGGACCATGGTGGTAGTTGCACAGTTACAGAGAAACTGATGGATTGAAAAGAGATTTAGTTTGTAAAATCAATTACTCCTGAACTGGATTAAATGTGAGGCATAAAGAGGAAGACACTGAGGATCGAATGGGTAAGAAGCCAGCAGATGGGTTTAGGAAGAAAAGGTTACTGAATCAAGACAGCTGTCTGGGCAGAAAGATGCGCTAGAGAGGAGGAACGGAGGAAGGGAGGAACGGAGGGACGGAGGAACAGAGGGACGGAGGGACGGAAGGACGGAGGGACGGAGGCGGTGCCTTGCAGTTTCAGGGACTGGAATAACTGGCAGTCTGTGGAGGGGTAGAACAGAAGGGAGGCGGAGGGTTAGCTCCCTCATGGAATGCAGTGTACTTTATGCCAAGGAATTGAACCTTGTCATAGGTGAAGGATGGGATACAAGAGAAAGGTTTAGGGAAGGAATTCGGGAAAGGAGCAGGATCCCAAAGGAAATTCTCTAAAGATCATCTTGACCGATTAGAAGAGAGGGACCCTGGAGTGTGATGGAGACCAGATAGCAAGTGAGGGTGATTGACAGACTCAGGACGGACCAGTGACTTTAGTGTAGATGGAAAACAGACATTGTTCCACTCTGTGCATGTTATGTCTGATGTGCACAGGAAGGGTGACATGTGTGTGGAGATCAGGGAAAGAAATGCATGATGACAGTGAAGGTTCAGAGAACCGTGCGTGGGAAGCCAGAAAAAAGATTAGCTCACCACGGGGCTGTGGGATCTGAGAAGAGCCTCCAACAGGATGGAGATGACCAGCATTTAGGAGCTGGCAGCAGAGGAGCTGAAAATGATAACAGGAGGGAAACCTGGGCTCAGAGAATGTGCCAGGGAAGAGAGCCAAGCAACTGCCAGAAGTGGTGAGAGGAAGAGGTGTCAGAGAGCAATTGGATAAAGACTAAAATTTCACCACCGACTTTAACAATTAACCGGTCACCAGAGAAGAATTTTTAAAGGGGAGGGGAACTGGAAGGCGCTGAGAATGCAGGCAGCAGTAATGACAGCCCTGACCTTGCTTAGCTCCTCCTGTAAGGAGCCATCGGGTGACCGTGGAGATGTGGACTCAAGCACAGAAGGCGATTTGGATGCTCTGTGGGACCAGACATCATGACCCGTAAGAGCCCTCACAGGCCAAGAAGGCAGAGAGGGTTTCTCCACTCTCCACACACTGAAAACAGTCTCTGTCATGGGTACATGTTACAACTGCATGTTCACACTTATGTGTATGTGTATCTCTCTATCTATCTACTGTAACTAGATATAAAGATGCTATAGGTGAAGAGAAAGAGAGGATTCAGCTCATGCCAAGATCATGGAGAAATCTATAGCATTAAATACATATATTAGAAAAGAAAAATGAAACTTAGTAACATAAGAACCTATCTCCAGAAGTTAGAAGAACACCAGCAAGTTAAATTCAAAGAACATAAAAGGAAGGCAATAACATAGAGCAGAAATTGGTTTAAAAATATCTTATAAGACTACAGCCAAAATCATAATTCATATAGATCTTGAAAATATGAGGAAACTGTGAACAAGTTAACACAGATAAATATAAAATTGATTGATGAAACTGAAAAGTTTTTATTCAAATGAAATCTCAAAGTAAAGTACTCCTACAAAGAAAACTCTATGAATATTGTTGGCAATAAGTCACTGTGCTTAAGGTACTTTCGCATTACAGTAATAAACAGAAAAATAATATTTGAGAGGTAGAGCTAGGTGAGGAGGGGGCTGAAGACAGGGCTGACAGAGTCAGGGCACTGCCCCAGGGCGACTCGGGGTTCACAGGGAAAGGGGGAGCAGCAAACACACTGTAAATCACAGGAGCTGGGTCTCCCACTGTGGGTGGGACGGAAACGGGAAAGGCGGGAACCAGTGGCTGAGTTGCAATGAGAATAGCAGTGTGGATTCAGTGTTTAACACCAGCAGACAGACGAGCAATGGCTACAGATGTGCCTGTGCACAAGACTGCAAAACCCTGCCTCGTAAGCAATCTCAGATCCAGAACATAGGACAGGAATCACATCTGGGTTGGTTTATGTTACCAAAGTTACTAGGATACACAAACCAGATAAAAAAAACAACATAAACCTGGAGAGGTGGCACACACCCATAGTCCCAGCACATGGGAAGCTGAGGCAGGAGGATCACAGCAGGTTCCAGGCCAGCCTGGGATGCACAGTGATTTGAACACCAGCTGGAACTTCACCGAGAGACCCTGTCTCAAATACTTAAAAACAAACTATAACATAAAAAGGAAAATGACATCAATACTCCCCAGGATTTTATACTTATAAGTCCTCACCAATATTAGGGAAGTCAGCCAACAATATAAAAAAGATTCTAACTCATGACACACAGAGGTTTTTTTCCTAGGATTGCAATGGTGATTCTGCATCTCCAAAGAAATCCATCATGAAGACAGGCTGAACAAGAAAAAACACTTGGGCTGGGGATTTAGCTCCGTTGCTCTGCTGCCTCTTAAAAGCACAGGTCCTGAGTTCCATCCTCAGTAACAGAAAGGAAGGAAGGAAGGAAGGAAGGGGGGAAACTTCCACATCAAGTACTTCCTGACGCAGCCCCGCGTCTGCCCCTCCTCTGCCCCAGGATTGCCATCACTTTCAGTGTTCCTAGTGTTGTGTGTGGCCCTGCCTGGAGTTTACTGCATTTCGTGGATGTGTAGATCAACGTTTTAAATAAATCTGGGGTGTTTTCAGCACTGCACATTCGCTTGGATTTTTTTTTCTTTTCGTTTTGAAGTCGCTTTCACACTGCTGTCCCACTCCTCTTCAGGAAGAGCTGCTGGGGGAATGTCCGGTGAAACCCTCAGGAATCAGTGGCCTTGGCGTCTGAGGTGCGGTGCTTCTCTCCAGCCCCGCCTGGCTCTACAGCTGAGTACATCCCTGCCCTTCTCCTGGGCTGTGCAGAGCCTGTGTCCCGGTCCCCTGGGATGAGGGCCAGGCCTGCTCCTCCAGGGCCCCGCATCCCAGAAACCCATTTAAACGCCTGCCTCTTCCGATTGGAGCTCCCTGCCCTGCCGGGGACCTGAAATGCGCAGGATCCGAGGAATCAGGGCTCTTTAATGGCCTGGGCTCTGTTCCTGCTTTTCAGGTTTGTACCGCTGTCTGTCCTTCTCCCTGGAAAGGCAGAAGCCGCGCTGTCCCAACCTCCGGAGGCTGTAGAGCTCCTGCCCCGCCCAGGAGGCTGGAGTTCTCTGCTCCGGGTGCACATTTTGTTTGTCCACTGAGACCTCGGTCTGCGCACTCTGTCACCGCCCTGAGTGACCGCCCAGGCCTCTCCCAGCCGCCTCCTTATCAGCCACAGTCTCACCTGCCCGCATTTCAGACCTGGGCAGCGGCCTCTCTGGGCAGCGCCGAGCCCTGTGCCGCAGCGGAAAGAGGCTGCCAGCCGTGCTGTCCTCAGTGTGACACGGGGAGAACTTCCGTCCAGTGCTGTGCACTTCACCCAGAAGCAGCAGCGACCTTTGAAGGGCTCTGTTCACTGCAGAGATCCTGGGATTCCGGCGAGTTTTCTACTGAGTGACTTCTCCCTGTCACAGCCCTGAGCGACGATGGCCACCTGCAGAGGCTCCGCGGGTGCAGACAGATTCTCCTCAGCTGCACCCAGGTGAGAGCGGGCTCCGTGGGGTGCAGGCCCTCTCTGCCCGAGCGGGCCTGCAGCTGACGGTTTTCGTGGGGAGAGTGCAATTGCGCGTGTGAGGAGAGGTATGAAGAGCCAGAGCGGCGGGAGGAAAATGCAGACATTTTCTCAGAGCTTCCTGGAAATTAAATCGATGCATGAATAGACACAAATTCTGTTTAAACAATGCGAAACTTCAGGGGAAACTTAAGAAAGTTAGTGAATCATCCAGGAGTTCTGCTACGCTTAGGCCTGCCCTTTGCTTGTTCTACCCCAGCCTGCAGAAGCTGGGCAGGGCTTTCCCAAGTGAGAGCCCCTGCACTGGTTTCGCGGAGCCTTAGTTAAAAGATGCCACTGCTGAAGAAATGACCGACCGTCCACATTTCAGACAGGGCAGACTGAATTTATATTATTTCTTACAAATTCAGAATTCCTATGAGGCCGGGTCTGCAGTGGGTGACCGTAGCCCCGCTCGCGGGGACGTGGCACTCGTACAGAGCAGGGCACAGGGGCTTTTACACCCCTGCCCCTCCCTCGCTCCTCCCGACCATCAAGCGCCTCTCCTTCCCCTCATCGTGGAGGTCTCATCTGAGGAAACTGAGGCAGGCCGGGCTGCAGCGCCTGGGCCCCCTGGCAGGTGAGGTCTAGTGGAGGAGAGAGAAGCTGCCCGACCCAGCGGGTGAGGGGCCTCTCAGCCCAGGCTGGAGGGGCTGCTGAGCAGGCAGCATAGCGTCTTTCCTCTGCCCCAGGAGCCCTGCGCCCCTCTGATGTCTCTCGGTGTCAGCCAGCCTCAGTCTGGTGAACCGAGCCGGTTCAGGGCAACACTAGGCCGAAGCACAGAAGGCTCCGTGGACAAGGTCTTCCTGGTTTCATTTTCCAAAGTGCAGGCCACAAAGCGCCTGGTGTTATCCAACCTCTTCTTGTTAAATTAATTTTATTTGTACATTTAATGGCCACAATGTAATGACATTCGTTGTTGGAAATTTATACCTTTACATAGTCCATCTTGATTCTTATATTTTCCCCATTCCCCTGCCCGCCCTTCAACCCCTACACCCCTCCCTTTCTATGAAGGCTTTGTTTCCATTTTTTTTTTCTCATTTTAATTACATTCCCTTCTTGTGGGGTCCTTGAATCTTGTTCTATTACTCAGATAAGGACAGGGAAGAAGGGAAAGCTGAATTCGCTTTCTCTAAAGTCCTAGGGCTCAGGAAAGGCTGTAATCCAGGTCCTTTAAGCCCGGGTTCTGTGCTTTACAGCCAGGGTACAAATAACCCAAAAGTAATTTTCCACGGTGTGGACACCTGCACTGCCCAGGGGCCTGCCTCACCGTCAGAGTCACAGGCATTTTCCATGTCCACCTCTCCTATGCATAGGCTGGACCTGGCCAGGAGGAGCAGGTCTCCAGGGCAGCTGTTAGGGTCCCAGCCCAGAGCTCTGTGTCTCACCAAAAGAGAGGCTCTGAGTCTCTCAAGCTGACTGAGCACATGAAAGTTTTAATATGTAATGTTCTATGAATCTACTTCAATTTTACTTTAACAATTTCAATTTTTGAAAATACTGAGAAAGATGTAGGAACATAGATAAGGCCTCATAATATACATTTTTACATTTAATTTGAATCTTGTATAACTTCATATTGACTTGGCTTGAAAACCTCTCCTGTGATATATAATGAGTTGAAATGATGTTTCTGATACTTAAACAGATAAGTAATATCCCAGTGTGTCCTGTTCTGGAAACCTGTACCTGTGGGAACCTTTACCAATTGAGAAATAGCATATTAAAGGGACTCTGCAAAGATCATGCCATGCACATGCACAAAACTGGGGCATTTTTGTAGAAATTGGACAGGAAAGCCTGGCACACAAAAGGATGAAGGAAAAGAGTAGCCATCTCCATAGAACCGAGAAAACCGCTTCGAGGAGATCGGAAGAGCCCAGAAGGAGAAGGAGCACAGGGTGCAATTGGTCCAGGGCAGCGCAGGTGTCCCAGCAGCAGGGCTTGGCTGTTCCCGGAACATGGCTCCTGCTCTTGCCCTTGCAGAAGACTCATAAGGCACAGAGCAGCCGTAACTTAGAAACAGAGTTGGCTATTGCTCCGTGTAAGTGACAGGTGCAGTGATCATCATACACCTATCCAGAACTCTGCCCTGCCTTCACATTGCAGCCCTGTGGGAGACACAATGAGGTAACTGTGGATGCTTCACCAACCCCACACCCCGGACACACAGGAGAGGATATTTCAGATGTCAGCATGGAAGGAAGGCAAGGCCTTCGGTTGGTGGGTGGTGTTGTGTAATAAACGGTAACTTGGTGCAGCCTGAAAGGCTATTTTATTCAACAGTTATTCCGTGTTACCCAATCACTTTGTTTCTTGTGTACGATTTGCAGGACAAATATATCTAGGCCCCTCAAAGAAAGACTTGTGGATTTCTCATGGGCTTAGTTACACTGCATCTATCTTATCCTGAAAATTCTGACTAATACCATTTCCTTCAAGTCAAGGTATGTTTGAGCAAAAATCAACAGCTTTGAAGTGCTGAAATGTGTTTGGATTCCCTGGCTTTACAGACCTGGAGATCAAGAGGTATTTACCACTCAAATTCAGATTTTAGTTGAGTATTTTGATTGTTTAAAAGAGACACGTAATTCTCACAATTCACCAATCGTGTTGAAAAAATTGCAATATGTATATGTCTCTGGCATTCTGGTTTGAACTGTATGAGATATTTTCACCCATAAATGTAAATTTCTTATTTATTCCCTAAAGCAGCCTTGTGTGTTTTGTTATTCCAAAGTAATATACAGATCTGAGGCTCGAGGAGAGTCCAGGGCCGCACCGTTAGTTAATGCGGTGAGCAGGAAAAGTGCTCGGTTCGCCTGACTCTGCACTTCACCTCTCTGTGTGTCTCCTCCATCCCTGCAGAGCAAACTTCCCTTGCAAAGGTACGGAGTCATTGTGTCTGCTTTCTTATCATTTATTTTACACCACATCATAGCAAAGTGATAGTCTGTGCCCAGCAATATGTATAAATCCATCTCGTGTCATTCTCCTCATAATGTGAGCAGATAATAAACTGAGCCAGATGTTTCACTTAGAATTGGAGTTCACACTGCAGGTCGCTTGCTGACAGGCAAAGTAGACCCTTTATGAGCAAAAGGACAGAGCTGGTAACCTGCAAAACAGAAGTACTCATTGATTCACAAGCTAGAGGAGAAGGTGGACAGCATGAGATAATAAAATATGTACACAAATAGGGAGCAAAATAGAAGATGGATACACAGGGAATAAGAGGAAATTCAAGTGATCCCTAAATTACCTATTTAACTGACTCAAAAATATTTTAACACATATGTGAAATTGTTTCATTTATATGACTAGAATCTCTTGTTCACTGGAAAGAAAGTGTCTGTTGTATCTGTTTCCTTTTTGTGAGAGAATCTTTTAGGTCTATGTCTTCTACTTTGAATAACCACTTTGAGGATAATAACACAGGATATGAACTACTGCTCTCTTACAATTTTATTAGAGATTTTGTCTTACTGTCACATTTTTTTTAATTCATAAAAACACTGAGGTGTGAGTGTGGACAGGGAGCCTAGGAACATATTTACTGATGCAACAGCACATGCTCGAGGTCCTTGTTATTGAGGACTTAGGAAGGGGTAAAAGTTAAACTTGAAATGCAGACACTGTGGGAGAACCAACACACAGGCCATTCCTCGTTAGTTTTCTTTCTGATGCGTGGTCTGCTAGAGAACAGGCCTAGCAGGCACAAGGTCTTGAGCTTGTTCCTCAACACTGCAAATGCTTGTAATCATGAGGCAGAAGATACAGATTGTGAATGACATGAAATTACACATAGTATTAGAAAAATTAATGAAATGGGGCAGCAAACTTTCTGAAATTTGCAGAATGAAATAAAACAGTGAACATTACTTGTACCCCTAAAAACATCAGTGCAGATTATAATAAAATGTGTGAGCTCTCACTGATGAGTATTGTTCACTAATTGAATTAGCGATTATACCAGGTGAAGTTTTCAGAGATTCGCATGGTTCTAACATGTTGTGTGCTGGGTACAGTCACGGTGCAGCTGATGTTCTGGGCATGTGTAGAAAACAGAGTGAGCTGAGTCTGCCCACCAACAGCCTGACCCCAGCACGACCACCCATTTCTGGGCCAAAGAAGGATTTCCTAGCTCCCTGCTTCCTGAATTTATCCTGAGTGGAGACCAAAAGTCGGCAAATACAAACCACTTCTTAGCACACCTCTACTACAAAGTAAAAGTTTTTTTTCCACTTTTATTAATTTTATGGGCACATTTAATGTATAAAATATAATGGCACTCATTGTTGGAAATTTGTACCTTTACATGATCAATCTTGGTTTTATTTTTGTCCTGTTGCCCTGTCCTCCCTTCAACCCCTCCCTCCCTCCTAATCTACAAAGATTTTGTTTCCATTATTTTTCATTTTCTCATTGATTCCATTCCCTTCTTTCCTTTCCCAACCCTCTCTCATTTGCTCTTCCTCTTTGTGCTTTTCTTCCTATTTCACATTATCTATTATACCTTGAGTCCTTATTTACAGTTTCAGTTTATCACACTAGAGAAACTATTTGGTATTTACACGTGTGTCCTATTTATATAACATAAGAGTTTTGCCTCAATGTGTATCAATTTAGCTATAAATGTCACTAATTTCTCATTTCTTTTGTATTTTTTGAGACAGGGTCTCACTATATAGTTGAGACTGACCTGGAATTCATTATGTAACCCAGGCTGGTCTCGAACTCACAGTGATCCTCCTGCCTCACCCTCTCAAGTGCTGGGATTACAGGCATGCACCACCATGCCTGGCTTCATTTCTCATTTTTAATGGCTGAGTACTATCCCTTTTTACAAAAATCGCATTTTTTTTTATCCAGTCCCAGTTGATGTGCAATTGGGCTGCTTCCAAGCTTTAACTACTAAAAATTGTGCTGCTTATGAACATTGGTGCACATATATCACTATGGTGTGATTCTTTTAACTTTTTAGGGAAATACTCAGCAGGGCAGTAGCTCAATCAAATAGGACTTCCAGTCCTAGTTCTTTGAGGTATCTCCATGCTGTTTTACACAGTGGTTGCACAGTCCACACTCCCACCAGCAGTAGAGCAGGGTTTCACTTTCACAGAAGCCCCACCAGCATTTGTCATTGGTTGACTTCATGATAGCAGCCATACTTTCTGGGGTGAGGTGGAATCATAGCATTGTTTTCATTTGCATCTCTCAGATGACCAGTGATGTTGAACATGTTTTGATATGTTCATTTACTATTTCTACTCGTTTGTCTGAGAAATGTCTGTTCATTTCAGATACCCACTTTTGGATTGGGTATTTAAATTTTGGAGGTCTGATTTTTTAAAATTCTTTATGTATTCCAGACAGTAGCCTTTTGTCTGAGAAAGAGCTGGAGAAAAGTTTTTCCCACATTGTGGGATGTGTTCTCACACTGATGAGGATTTCTCTTGCTGTGCAGCAGCTATTTAGTAAGAAGACATCCCACATGTTGATTGTTTGTGCTAGCTTACAGACAGCTGAGGTTTTGTTCATAAAATCTTTTCCTACACCACTCTCTTCAAGAGTTCTACCTAACCTCTCTTTCAGCCGATTTAGTGTTTCTGTTTTAATAGTTAGATCTTTAATCCATTTTAAATTTAGTTTAATGCATGGTGAGCGATAGGTCTAGTTTCAATCATTGTCAAGTTGAAACCCAGTTTTTCCAGCAACATTAATTAAAGAAGCTATCTTTCCTCCAGTGAGGGTGTTTGGCTCCTTTTGTGAACGTGATGGGGTGGAGTATATCTGGAGTTATTTCTGTATCTTCTAATCTGTTCCACTGTTTCTGCAGGTCTTTTTCTTTGCCAGTACCATGCTGTTTTTATCACAGTAACCTTTGCGATAGTTTCAAGTTGGGAATTATGATACACCCTGCCTTCTCTTTATTGCCTAAAATTGCTTCTGCTATTCTAGGTCTTTTCCTGTTAAAAATGAATTTTTGGATTATTTTCTCAAGATATGTGAAGTATGCTCCTGGGATTTCAAGTGGGGCTGCATTGAATCTATATAGCAGTTTTGAAAGTATGGACATTTTCACTATGCTGGTTCTTCCTACCAAGGAACAATAGATGTCTTTCCATTTGATATCCTCAACAATCTATTTTTTCAGAGTGCTGTAGTTTTCAGAGTAGAGATCTTTGATTTCTTTCACTATTTTGATTCCTAGATATTTCAATTTTTTGGATGCTATTGTGTAAGGAATTGACTCCCATTTCTCTCTCAGTGAGCCAGTATTCCATGAACAGAAAAGCTATGGATTTTTGTTATTTAACCTTCTATCAGCTACCTTACTGAATTTGTTTATTAAGTCTAAAAGACTTTTGCTGGAGTTCTTGGGGCCTTCTGTATAAAGTATCACATCATCTGCAAATAATGACCATTTGACTTCTTCCTTTCCTATCTTTATTCCTTTTATTTCTTTGTCTTGTCTAATTGCTGTGGCTGATGTTTCCAGAACTATATTGAACAGCAGTGGTGATAATGGACATCCTTGTCTTATTCCTGATTTTACTATGAAGGTTTTCAGCTTTTGACCATTTACTATGATATTGTCTTTTGGTTTTTCATAGATGGTTTTTCATAGGTGCACTAAACTAAATTCAAAATGGATTAAAGATATAAGTATTGAAACAGAAGCACTAAATTGGCTGAAACAGAGGTTAGACAGAACTCTTGAAGACATCAGATTGAGGTAGAGACAATCTTACTCCGATTTTCTGTAGGGCTTTTATCATAAGTGCATGTAGAATTTTGTTGAATTCTTTTTCTGCATCTATTGAGATGATGGTTTTTATCCTTTGCTCTATTAATATAGTGCATTACATTTATTGATTTTTGTATGTTGAACCTTCTCTGCATTCCTGGGATGAATCCCACTTGGTGAAGGTGTATGATCTTCTTGATGATCTTCTGCATTCTATTTGCCAGTATCTTATTAAGGATTTTGGCATTTATGTTCATTAGTGAAATTGGCCTATGGCTCTCTTTTTCGGTTGGGTTTTTTATGCTTTGGGGATCAAGGTTATGCTTGATTCCAGGAATGAATTCAGGAGTATTGCTTCCCTTTCAATTTTGTTGAAGAGTTTAAAAAGTAGAGGCAGTAGTTCCTCTCTAAATGTCATGTAGAATTGAGTACAGACCCCATCAGGTCCAAGACTTTTCTTAGTTGGTAAGTTTTTAATCACATTTTCAACTTCATTGATTAATATTGGGTCATTTAGAGTTTTTAGGTCTTCTTCATTCAACTTTGGTAATTACTATGAATCTAGAACTCTGTCCATGTCCTCGTATTTTCCATCGTATTGACATATAGGTTCTTGAAGGGCATACTGATGATTCTCTGGATTTCATAATTTCATCCTTTTCTTTTCTAAATGTATTGATTTGAGCCTTTTCTTTCCTTTTTTTTGATAAGGTTGGCAGTTTTGTTTATTCTTTCAAAGAACCAACTCCTGGCTTTGTTGACTTTTCCATTGTTCTTTTAGTCTCCATTGCATTGATTTCTGCTCTGATCTTTATAATTTCCTTCCTTGTATGAGCTTGGGGTTTGTCCTGCTCTTCTTTTTCTAGAAGCTTGAGGTTCAGCATCAGATTGTTTAATTGCACATACTCTGTTTTCCTAATATACATATTCAGTGCCATGAATTTCTCTTGTAAGATAATGTTCAGTGTGTCCCAGAACTTGTGATATGTTGTACTGTCATTGTCCTTTAATTGTAGGGACTGTCTGATTTCTTCTTGATATCCTCTGTGACCCATTTGTTATTTAGGAGTGTGCCATTCAATTCCATGTGTTAGTGAAATTCTTCTTGTTTCTTTTACTATTGATTTTCAATTTTATCGCACTATGGTTTGATAATATACAGGGAATCACTCCAAGTCTTTGCACTTACTTAGACGTGTTCTGTGAGTGAGTATATGGTCCATTTTAGAGAACAACCCATGTGCACCTGAGAAGAATGTGTATTCTAATTTTGTGGGGTGAATACTCTGTAAACATCTGTTATATTCAATTCTCAAGTGTTTGATTGAGTTCTAGTATTTCGTTGTTTATTTTCTGTGTAGCTGATCTATTTGTGACAGTGGATACTGAGGTACCCCGTTACTATTGTGTCAGTGGTTATTTGCTTTTTCATGTCCATTAGTATTTGTTTTATAAAGATAGGTGCACTAGTTTTTGATGCATATATATTTATGATTGTCATCTCTTCCTCTTGGATTGTTCCCTTTACCAGGATGTAGTGTCCAAGTCTCTCTTGATCAGTGTTGGTTTCAAATACACATGATCTGCAAAGAAGATAGGTAGTCCTGCTTTTTTTCTGGGTTTCTGTAGCATGGAGTATTGTTTCCTTTAACTTTCAGTCTATGAATTTCTTTTTTAATTAAATGCATTTACTGTATGAAGTATATTGTTGAATTTTCCTTCTTGATCTATTTTGCCAGTCTATTTCTTTTGATTGGTGAATTGAGACCATTAACATTGATGGTTATAACTTACATGTGTTGAGTTATCCTTTTCGTGACATTTTCTTTTTGATCAATTCTCCCCTTTGGATTTAATTTCTTGTTGTGCCTGATGGATTCCTTCTGCTGGGCTTCCTGCGGTTGTTATCCTCACTATCATTTCATAGGGCATTGTTTAAAATTTTTGGAGTGCTTGTTTGGTATTCCTGGAATTCCTGAGGTGATATAAATTGTTACATATGAATTCCAGAACATAAAGTATGATTCAATATTTTCTTTTACCTTTTAGAATCCTAATGCTTAACAACAAATTTTGTTGCTGTTGTTGTTATTTTCCTCATGGAGTTTGCTGGTACTTTTTTGCTTCACAGTACAGTTGCATTCATCTTTGGGATTTTGTACCTTTACGTGACAGATCTTGGTTGTTATTTTTTCCCCATACCCCTGCCCTCCCCTTACCCCTCATGCTCCTCATTTACCAAGACTTTGTTTCCATTTTTTCCTTTTCTCATATTTTTTCTTTCCTTTATTTCCTTTCCCCTACCCTTCCCACTTTCCCTCCTCCATTAGCCCTTTCATTCCTATTTCACATTATCAGTTAACCAATTTAGATCTTACTTACACATTTCATTTTTCACAGCAGAGAAACTATTTGGTATTTACACATGTGTCTGATTTATTTCACTTAAGATTATGGCCTCAATATGCATTCATCTTAGTATGAATGACTCTAGTTTCTAATTCTTTATGTTTGAGTAGCACTGCACTTTCTTTAACAATGAATTTGTGTTGTCACTTTATTTCCCTGGGAACATCATCCATCACTTTATCTGGAAGATCTGAGGCTGCTTCTGTGCCATGGTAGGGTTGATGGAAGGGCACAACACCTCCTCTACGGACTTCACCTTCCTGGGGCTGTTCACCAGAGAGGAAACTTCAGCGCTCCTGTTTGCAACCATCTCAGCCATCTTCCTCACCGCACTGCTGGCCAATGGGATGATGATCTTTCTGATCCACACTGACTCACAGCTCCACACACCCATGTACTTCCTGCTCAGCCACCTTTCTTTAATTGACATGATGTACATCTCCACCATTGTGCCCAAGATGCTGGTTGACTATGTACTGGGCCAAAGAACCATTTCCTTTGTGGGGTGCACAGCTCAGCACTTCCTCTACCTCACCCTGGTGGGGGCCGAGTTCTTCCTGCTGGGGCTCATGGCCTATGACCGCTATGTGGCCATTTGCCACCCCCTGAGGTACCCTGTGCTCATGAGCCGCCGTGTGTGCTGGATGATCATAGCAGGCTCCTGGTTTGGGGGCTCTCTGGATGGCTTCCTCCTCACACCTATCACCATGAGCTTTCCCTTCTGTGGCTCCCGGGAGATTCACCACTTTTTCTGTGAGGCGCCTGCAGTGCTGAGCCTGGCGTGTGCAGATACTGCCCTGTATGAGACTGTGATGTACATCTGCTGTGTGCTGATGCTGCTCATCCCATTCTCTGTGGTTATCGCATCCTATGCCCGCATCCTGACCACCGTCCACCGCATGAGCTCTGTGGAGGGGAGGAAGAAGGCCTTTGCCACCTGCTCATCCCACATGCTTGTGGTGACTCTGTTCTATGGGGCTGCCATGTACACGTACATGCTGCCACACTCTTACCACACACCAGCCCAGGACAAAGTCTTCTCTGTGTTCTACACCATCCTCACCCCCATGCTGAACCCCCTCATCTATAGCCTGAGGAACAAGGATGTGACTGGGGCGATGAGGAGGGTGCTGGGGAGGCTCCGATCTTCTCACCAAGTCTCAGGGGAGGCCTTCTGATGGTTGGGTTTGTCTCATAGTCATGGGGATGGGAACACTGAGTCAGGGTGGCCATGTTGAGCTGGAGATGAACCAGAAAGAAGGGTTGGGGTGGACAGAAAGGCAAACATTGACAAAACTTGTTTTCTTAGCCCCTCTTCTTTCATTTCTTCCTTTCTGCTACCTTCTCTTTTCCTACCCTGTTAACATGTATTTAAAATAAATACCCATGGTTTCCTTAAACACAAATGAGAAATTTTTTTCCAGAACTTTTGCCTCTTATAGGTATAAAAAGTGACTCAAAACTTCTAGTGTCATGGACACTATCAAGATTGATGGAGGGAGGACAGGACTTTTAGTGTTGTGTATAAATGCAGCTCACCGAAAAATGAGATGGGAATGCTGTCTCCCCGAAGAGCCTCTCAGCAGCGTGTTGAGCTGTCTTTGTGCCCCCATCACTGGGGATTTGAAAGGGCATGGAACAGAGTTTGCCCAAATGCTGATCCTCCTCACTGAGGTCAGGTCTTGTCCTTCTTTCCATAAAAGGTCAGTATTTAACTTTTGATTCTTTGCAATGCATGAGGGAAGACTGTGTTGTGGAAAGATACAGCCAGGGGATGAAAACCAAGGACACTTCCCAGAGCCAGTCTTGAGAACATGCTCTGAGAAGCTCTCCCATGCCCTGGGAAAACACTCATCTCTATATGCTGGGAAGATACAGATACACTTTTCAGAAATATTAAATCATCCTTGAGGTAAACCATGACCCATCCAGGTAACACAGGATAGCTCGTGTTTATCCCCATGCCCCCAGTGACCATGGACTTGAGGACAGAAAACATATGGCAAATCATGTTCAACCCTGTGCCAGTTATAGAAGGATTCCTGCAGGATGGAAGTGGCAGACTCACTGAAATGTTCAGGAGCCAAGTGGAAGTGATGTTATAGAAACTTCATCATGGCGTGGCCAACACCATGTGGGTCACTCTTTCTACAAAATTTTTCAGGAATCTGACTTGCTGGGTTCCTTGTTCTCTAACCCTCTCAGCACAAATGAGGCTCATTGCAGGTCCGTACAGTGGACCTGAAGCACAGGTCTTCAGGGTTTCTGTGTGCAGTAGATGCCAAGATTTCTAGAATGTTACCAGTAAAACACTCTGTCCTACAGATACAGCTTTGTCATTCATTTAGTGAATAAGACAAAGCCCCTACCCTCAGGAAATTCAATTTCCAGTGGAGGAAAGACTATGCCAAGACAAAAAACAAATGAAATAAAATTCATATGGCCACCGTGTTGTCTGTGGTAGAAGTAACAAAGTTGATGATATTCACATCCTGTGCCCAGCACTTCCATCACAGGTGGACTCCTGGTAGAGGTATCCATAATGCAAGGGACAACAGCAACAGGTAAACCGTATAGTCTTGCAGTAGCTCACTGGTGTTGAAATGGATAAGTACATCCTGACATACTCATACAGATAAATAGAGCAGTAATACAAATATCACATCCCTTGCTTCCAAATGATTAGTTTCAGAAATGTAATAGTTTGTGCTGAGGTGCTCCAGCCCAATGTATCAAAATGTTTTGCAAGTGTGTGAAGGGCTTGACATTTCAAGAAAATTCTGTTATCCTGGGGCCTTTCTGTTAACTCTGCCCCTCTGAAGAATGTTCTGTTCACACTGCCCCATGATTACTGTGAGCGTGCTCAACCAGTACGTTTTTCAGGAAAGTCCTGTAACTGCCCATGTGCTTCACTGAGCATGCTACAAAAACAAATGCTAATTATATGAAACCACTAATAAAAATGATGTGTTATGGGAAGGAGGAAAGCAAACAAGAAAAATAGTGACACAATTTTATAATTTAAATCTGGAAATTAACAATCAATCTATTAGTTCGTTCAAAAATCTGGAGGAAAATACACATGGACAGAAAACCTGAATACAAATTGAAAGTGAAATTATTGGGACAAAAGGAATATATGTTCCAACATGCGAAAATTCAGAATTGATAGCACCCTGTCTTTATAAGAGTGCCATTTAAATGTGAAGTAGCAAGTGATTTTCTCCTTGAAAAAAGCTATGAAACTGACAGACACAGACATATTTTGAAAAGAAATATCGATATGTTAGCTCGGATGGGTCAAACATTTCTATGGATAGAAAAATCACATCAACTCTGTAATTTACATAAATACATTTTAACTGCCACCTATACCCAAATAAAGCTACAGAAGAACAGATGCATCCTCCTCAGTGATGAAACATTGAAAGCTGAGGTATCTCAGCCATCAGAGGAGGGTGAGCCCCATCCAGACCTTCACCAGGATGTGAGCTCTGATGACAGGAAGTCCATGGGGACAAACAACGCCTGCTTCTGCCAGGAGCAATGAGTATGGAGAGGCAGGGAGCCTAATGTGCCTGTTGCTCCAGTGCTGGGCTGGCACTAAATGGACAACAGCACCTCTGTGCTGAGGTTTTCCTACATAGAGCTTCTAGATGAAACCGCTCAAATATTTGGGATTCATTTTTTTCATTTGAACCGCGACGATGCAGATTCTGTTTTTCAGAGTCAGAAAAATAAAATGCTTTCTATTGTGAGTAAATAAATTTGTACACACTACTTGGTGACAAAAATTTAACTCACACAGAGGCATCAGCTGCTGTGCTCCAGGTAAATACAACAGCAGGCATTGCTCCTTCTGTTTCTGTGTTACACTCTGACTCTTCTTTTTCCTCACAGCCAATGTTTGAGTGGATTAACTTGATGCATCTTTTCATAAAGAGCAATGGGAGAAGCCAAAAGTTTCCAAACTACACTATTTTGAAGGTCAGGTTTTTTTGTGTCCTTTTATTAAAGGGATTAAAAGCATTTTACTAGGTGAGGGCGAAGGGGCTGGTGAGGGTCTCTGTGTTGATTGTCCCATTGCATCCTCAGGCCTGAGTTGTCTGCTGTCTAATCCCCTTGTCACTTATCCCAGCCTGAGTGGAAGAGTGAGTCCAAACAGCACAGTGCAGACAGCAGGGTCTCTCACAGGACACTCAGTGCGCTTCTCCAGGTTGGGCAGATCCAGCCCCTGAGGTTCTCTCAATAGCACAGGCATCTGCTAAGATGAAGCATGTAATACATACTCTTTATAATGCCTGACATTTTTCTTAGCTTAAAGTGATCCCAAATATTTTCAAAACATGTCAATGTGGGCTATACATCTAGTGTTTCAGGAAATTGGTATAAAATATACAATAGGTACAAAGTACCCATCAAGGAAAATAAATACTTCACCATAAGAAGAACAGACAAGAAAATATATGAAGACAACTGAAATAGATATTCTCAGGTGTAGATTCTAATGTAAGCAAATGCAGAAAATAAATTAAAACACTTTCATCTGACACAATGTTACTTACGTTGTAGTCAAGAAAACCCTTGACTGTGTACTGATGATACCTATTGAACATTCTTCAAAGAGCAGCACTAATGTCCCTGTTGCGTAGACAGTAGATGATGGTGTTCACGAATGGGGGCACCATGCTGTACAACATGGCAGTCAGCAGATTCTTAAGGGATGGCTTCTTTGCAATGGGACCTAAGACAGCTATTGCTGCCAAAATGACAAAGAGCTGGTAAATGGCCAACTGTAGGGTACAGGTGGATATGGCTTTCTTTCTGGCTTCCGCAGAATGCATTATAAGCACATTTAAAAATATGTTAATTTGTGATATAAATACAAAGGAAAAACATAGTAACAAATGACAAATGCTTATAACATCTACTACAAATTCAGAAAACTGCACATCTGATGAAGAAATCTTCAGTTTTTGTGGAATATCACAGAAATATTGCTGGATCACATTGGTCTTGGTGAAGGGAAGCCTGAACAGAGCCCCTGTGTGGATAGCAGAGTAGACCAGACCAGAGGCCCAGGAGCCAGCTGTGGCCTGGGAGCACAGACTTGGGGTGATGATGAGCAGATGTGCAGATATTGGAACCTTCTTCACCTCTTCGTAGCAATGAAAATTTGCAGCAACTGTGAAAGTAGGCAGTTCCTCACATGATTAAGTGCAGCATTATCTTTTGACCTAAGAATTCTATTTCAAATGAACAATTCCACTCTCCGGAGAAGTAGAAACACACATCCATGCAAAAACTTTTAAAGTAGTGTTTATAGCAATTTTATTCATGACAGACAAAAGTTGGAGCTGTACCAAGCATCCATTAATGCATGATAGATGAACAACATATGCGACATACCCAGTATTATCAACATATACAATAGGTGGTAAATTTTTTAAGCTTCACTATAATAAAATATACATTACCATTAATCACTCCACGATCCTCTCTTCCCTTCTAACACCCTAACACCATTACTCTCCCAGTTACTGAAGTAGTTCTAGAAGTCTAATTTCCAGAGTGTCTGTATGAGGTCTTACCAAAATATCTTGACCACTGCTGCCAGATGTCATTCTGCAAAAATGCAAATTTATAATAACATGACCATGTGCACTATGCATTTCCTCTAGACTACTTTCTCAGTGTGTCCTCATTCCCACTGAAACCTCCTGAGCCTGGTCTTTACTGCCCACATTCTCACTAGCATTCTGCTCCCCTGAATTCTGACCAGAATGACCATCAAGCTCTATTCACAGAACTCTAGGTCTTTCCTAGCCTGCATGTTCAAGTCTTTCTAAACTCCATCAATCCAACTCTAAATCTTATGGTCAGGCATAGCCACAGAAGTGACTCCACCCACAGTCACTGTTTCCTGAAACGGCCCATCTCTGGAACAAAATATATGACACCCCATGATTTTAAAGTAATAGAGGTGTAATTTGGCTCTTGGTTTTAGAGGATTCATACCTTGCTCAGCTGGTTCCAGGGAAAGAACATCATAGAAAAAGACCATGACAAAGCCAGAAAAACACAGCAAGGAAATAGCACCAGAGAGGAAGGAACCAGGGACCATATGTGGACTGTAAGGGACACCTGCATGACCGAGCAAGATACAGAGAAGACAGATTAATCACACAGGAGGCCTTCATCTGAGTCAAGTCAACACAAGCTTAATGACATTCAGGTTCTCACTTTTGAAAGATTGTTCAAATATGTGAGCATTGATACCACTTTCTATCACCATTATAATTTGCATATTTTGTCCTAGTTTGGAATTTACAATTCCTGATGTCAAACTAGTTGGATGAATTTCTATATTC